CATAGTATATATTTCAATTTTAGGAATAATTTTGTCTCAAAAATGTGTTTTTGTCCTCTCATCTTGGAAAATATAGGTTTTTGCCACTTTTTGCCACTTTGCTTGGCAAAAACCTGTTTTTGCCAGGACGGTTTTTACCGGTATTTACCATGGTTTTTTCCACCTGCGGCAAAATCTTGCCAACCCTGGTATATACACATGATCTAAAATTTATTTGTGATAAAAGAGAAGTCATTAACTAAACATATTTTGCTATTATAAAGACAGTTAATATCATAAATTTGTGGCAAATCTTTTACATGGTCATATTAAATTGGTAAACTGGTGATTAAAATATTTTATTAGTGAACACTTATGACCAAGACTCACACCAAATGTAATCAAAACTATACATAAAACAAGTCTATGAGACTTACTTATGTTTATACATTATTTACATTAGATCATTTTATTTTAGAATTAGTCAAATTGAAGAAAAGAGGAAAATTTAAAAAAAAATCTATTGCAATAGAACAAGATATCTGAAACCAATGGAAAAAGAAAAGAAAAACGTAATTATGATGTTTTTAAGGATGTACTTATAAATTACTATTATTATAACAGGGGGAAAATGATTATAAGTATTTCTTTTTTTTAATTCCACAAAAAGCTAATTCACTTGCTTTGCAAGATTTTTCCAAATTCAGTTAGCATTTTCCTATTCAGTCATTGATTTATATTTCTTAGAAAGCTTTATAAGGCTTTCTTCAAGTTTTGTTTGTACTACTGTAATACTTTTTTTTCATTAAAAAGGTTCATAGAAATCAAGGTTCAACTAATTCAGATAATTGATTAAAAAAAGTTAGCTTAAATGTAAAACAAAAATTAAAAAAAAATTTGGAATTTTTTTTGTCTTTAATTCGTTTAAAAAATTTTAATATTTTATCATTTTATTCTTTTTATCAGAAAAATACTTGTTTATTTAGTAAAAGTAAACATTCATTTCTAAATATTAGAAACCTGTTTTAGACCACAATTGATATATATTTATACAATATTTTTCAAGCAAAAACCTGCATTTGTCAGAAAATAACATTTTCCAAAGAACTTGTGACAAAAAGACAAAATATTTACTTACATTTAAATCCCCAAATAGATCCAGCTAATGCACCAGCAATTACATGATTAGGTACATCATTTTTCTTCCTCAAATGAGCAAGAACGCATACTGAGGAACCAAATACAAATCCCATACCAGCTGAAAAATAATAATAAGATGTTGAGAATACAATTTAAAAAAATTTATAACAATTTAACATGTTTTATGAATAAAAATATTTTTTTTCCTATTAAGTTTTTGACTATTTAAATACTTTAAAAATTGCTAATATAAGATCTTTTTTTCAATTAATTTACACATTACTAGTTTAATTTTTCTTTTAAAAAAAGAGGAAATAGTAGCCTTATTAGAATAAAAATTTATATTTTGACATTTTCTTCTTGCCTTATAGACTCAAAGCAAGAAGATACTTAAGAAGCAAGATAATATATGCAAGTCCTTTTTTTTTTTTTTACTAAAATACAATCTTAATTTTTAAAATTTTCATCGCTTTTAAAAAACAGATTTTATGGTATTTTTCCATTATGTATACAATGCACTTTGTCACACAGTTTATTTCATATTTACTAAAAAAAAAAAAGAAGATAAAAATATAATAATTGTTCCATAACTGAAAAGGAACATCCTATATGGGTTAAAATGTGCTGAAATCTTTAATTACTTATGTTTCTCTAAACTTGGATTAAAAAAAAATACAATCCAGAGGGATATTTCTGCATTTTAGATCTGCGGAACAAACTACTAAGTGCCAAAGAGACTTCAAAATATCAATTCTTTTCTTAAAAAAACAAGTAGATGTTTGCCTGGGGTAGCTACGAGTTAAACCTTTTGAGTTGGACCCGTTCTGTGATTTTTTTTTACAGTTTCTCGCCCGGAAGTTACATCATTCTACCACTGATCAGGATACGGAAATATCCCCCAATCTAGAACGGTATGATGATTCATCTTTTTTCAATATGAATTATAGATCAAAAGGCTTTATTCAAATTAAGAACACATAGGAATATTTAATCCTTCAAAAGTATACTCTACAAATAAAATTTAATTTCTAAATAATTAAAAACCAATGTTAATGAGACAAAAATTTCGTTCATGATCAGATATAAATAATATTATATATCAGGTATAAATAACCATATAAATAATACTTTGTTGTACTTAAAAAATTTTGCACTCCTCACCAAAAGGTAATGTGAAACGTCCAAATCTTGCTAAGGTCCCATACACAGTAGTCGGCTTAGAAAATAAGGCAGCTTCATAGAAAGAAAACACAGCACCTGTAATTGTTGAAAAAAGTAAATATTAAATATAAATTGAATTCAACAGACGTGAATGGTCAGTGGTTAATTTGATAAATCATTTACCGAATATCCCAGCATATTTAGTAAAATAATACGTTTTTTCGAGACAATCATGTCCATCTGGACTTTTTTGAAAATCATAAAACTCAACTGTAAAAGCTTCCTTTCTCATCTTGATGCCTTTTAGTTAAATAAAAGGACTTATAACATTTAACAATTCAGTTCTTATTTCTAAGGGCAAAATAAGTTCACCTACAATAATAATAAACAAAGCATGTTGCCATTACAAATATGGAAAAGTCTACGTTTTCTGCTGTTTCCTTCCCCATTTGCTGTTGAAACCATTGAAAGCGAATTTCAAGTTGTTTCAGTTTATGTTTTTAAAGCTTATTAAAGGTAGTTAAAATACTATCGAAACAGTTTGTTACGTATATGCGATGGGAAAATCACTATTTTAAACTGAAAAATGATTTTTTTTTTTTGTGTACTTAGAATCTGGCAAAAACGGAATTTCTGTTTATTTTGATTTTGAATTGAATAAAAAAAGTGGACGACTGAGTTAAATGATTGAAATAATTACAGAATTTTTCTAAAGCTTTATTATTCAAAATGTGTTATTCATTATAATAGTACTTGTTTAACAAAACCACTTAAGTTCTAATTACTAGTATGTATGTCAAATACTGTTTGAAGTTATTTTTAAACATGTCCATTTCTACTGTATTTTTAATTTTTTTTAGTTCTTATTCCATTTTCAATTGAATTTAAATAAATTCAAGTGTATGAGTGGGACTTTTTATGATGTATAATAATAAGTATTTGAGTGATTATAATTGTTATAAAATATGTTCAAAAATTAAAATTGAGGTGTGTTTTTTAGGTGACGTTTGCTGAACTCTTACCAGAAAAGTATTGTATTTTATTCGTATGATATAACCTTATAATTTTTAAAATGTAACATCAAAACCATTATTTTACTTATAAGTATTAAATTTCATTAAATTATATCATTAATCGAAAGTTTCATTGAATGATAAAAAAATAATTAAGTACTTTAAGGGATATATATTACAAAGTACTTTGTATAGTTTAGTTGAAATAATCAAGGATCTGTCTAGTTATTTGTAAGAGGTATCAATTTCGTGAAAATTTAGACATAATTTGTGAGAAGTTATATTAAAAAATGAACACAAAAATATTGATCTATAGTTTCTTACCAGATACAAAAATAAAATTTTAAGAAAAAGTATTTTCTGAAACTACCGTTTTTCTTATTGAATTTGTGCGTATCGCTATACGGTAGTAAGTTTGGCGTCTACAGACCCCTGGTAATCTTTATAATTTCTCTGAATTCTGCAGTTTTTCTGGGCATATTTTTAAAGCAATATATGTTTGCATTAACTATTATTGCCGAAACGATTTTAAACTGGCAAAAAAAAAAAATTTAAACATTTATTGAGATTTACTTTGGGATGGCTAACAGTTGATCCCCTTCTGGAATATTTATTTTCTTTAGGATCTCTCCGGCTTCTACCCAGAAATCCAAATATACCGATGGCGTAGGTACCGATCTTGAAATCTTCCCGTTTCTATTAAAAGAAAAACATAATTTAACATTCTTAATGTTACAATCCAAAATCCAAATATACCGATGGCGTAAGTACCGATCTTGAAATCTTCCCGTTTCTATTAAAAGAAAAACATAATTTAACATTCTTAATGTTACAAGTTTTCTCTTCGAAAGAAAATTTGGCTCATTTTTTAATAGCAAGAATTTTGTAAAATCTATAATTTAATATTCATGCAAGCTATAGTTATGCATTTATCAAAAAAAATAATAATAATAAATAAAGAGAGAGCGAGATATTGGGAGACATTTCTATTTTAGATTTAGTCTCAATAGAAATCAGCTTGGAACAAAATGAAGTTGCCTGGTTGTTTTACTAAGATTAAATTTTAATTAAAGAAATATATGTATTATACTGCACAAGGGAATACAGATTTTACCTTCAAAATGCACCTACTTTTTAATTTTTTTCAGTTTCTAGCTTGTAACTGCCAGAAGCTTTACAAAACCTGACCATTATTTTATTGCAAATTCTAATATAGAAATCTTACTAAAGATTGAATTGTATGAAAAAATTTTGTTTTATAATTTTTTTTAAGTGACCTCTCAAATTAAACATACCTAAACATAGTTAATGGTGAGTCCTTTAAATAAGAGCCAAAAATTTGTTTCTTAAAAAAATGAATCTAAAATTTGGAAAATATATTTCTATGGGTATCTGTGGTAATATGCTCGCCAAAGTTTTGGCTACAAATTGGCAGTGACATGCTATAAAGAGTATCAAGGAACTGGCAAACTCAAAAGGTTAAAAGGTATCTGAGTTAGGCCAATATATATGTATTTTATTTTTATTTATTCATAGTATAAGAACTAAACAGTTTTACTTGGGAATTTCAGTTAGCTTGAGCTGGAATCAGTCACCTTAATTTTTACATGATCCTCAAATTTTTAGTGCTGTTTTGCTGAAATATACTTTAAAGTTAGGTTTCAAATTTGCTGTATTTGCAAACAATTCATGTACAATAACTGTTTGCTATGTCTCATCTTTTTAAAAGTAACAACAACCACAAAAAATAATAATTCTTTCAACAAATGATTCTGTTAAATATCACAATCTCACGTTGCTTAAGCCTATATTTAAGAAATATTAATAATTATGTGATTACAATTATTTATTGTAATCATTAAAAGAAAATTAATAAAGTTAGGTATATCAAGACACTTTTTGTGTTGCATAGTTTTGTGTTCTATAGCTAAGTGCAAAAAATTTGAAAGCAAATTTTATCCATATCTAATTTTTTAAAATATTTCATTCCTATCAGCAAAGGCCTTAGATCATTAATTGTAAACTAATTCTAATAAGAAGTTTATGTTATTGATAAAGCTGTTAAGTCATTATTTTTTTAATATATAAAGTAAAAGATCTATAGATCTTTTATAGATATAATGCAATTCCAGGAATGTAGAATATGCCCTATCGCACGGACGAGCCTCGCTTAAAATTCCGGCTGCCCAGAAAAAAAAAAATTTGTCGAATTAAAAAATAAAAAAAATGATATAATTTTTTTTTTTTATTGTAAAAAAATTAGTAGAATTTTTTTAAATTTTATATTTAGACTTTTTGACCACCTGACTAAAATTAATCTAAATGCTAAATTGAAAATGTTATATTTGGACAAATAAGGCATAAGAAAGATGGAAAAATAATTCATTATTTAAATATATTGAAATTTACAGTTTTGAAGTTTATTTTTTAACATTCTATTTAATTTCTTATAACTTATGCCATTCCAAACCAAAAAAAAAAAAAAAAAAATGTGTTTTGAAGAAATATCAGGCTGTGAGAATTTTCTGTACACCTGTGCAATTCAATAAACTGGAATAATCTTGATCCACTTGTTACCATCATAAGCAAAAGGTTAATGATACATTGAATGTAATACAAAATTCTATCTAATGCAAAACCTCATGTTTCAAGATTTGCATTACACAGATCTTCTACTGTATTAATTTAATGTGAAAATAAATTTTATTTAATGTATCTTTCAGAGAATGGGCAAGCTTTTATCAAAAATTTTTGGAAATAAAGAGATGAGAATATTGATGTTAGGACTAGATGCTGCAGGAAAGACAAGTATCCTTTTGTTGTTTATTCTAAAGAATTTCATATTTCAATAAAATTCTGATAGTTTCCATTTATTTAATTCAATTTTCTATCTTCTTAAAATAAACATCCTTAACACTATTTAGCTGTTTTATATAAATTGAAGCTTGGTCAGTCTGTTACAACCATTCCTACTGTTGGATTTAATGTAGAAACTGTTTCTTATAAAAATGTTCGCTTTAATGTTTGGGTAAGATTTTATGTTCAAATATTTTTATTTCTTAACATTACTGCTTGTTTTTTAGTTTTATAAAAATATAATGCAAATATAAGTTTTTTTAGTTATCTTATAAGAAGTGTTCATTTTAGTACAATATTCTGTTATCTCTAATATAAAATATTTATAAAGGTGTATTATATTTCAAATTTAAATTTTAACAATTGCTGTGAATAAATTAAAAATACAATCATAAAATCATTAATATTTTATTCACTTTTATTTGTTGTTCCAATTATCTTTGAGAGTTGACTTTGAAAACAAAATATGTGGTTTTTCAGTTGGTACCTGTCTTTTTGACATATTTGGGAACAAACAGGTCGATAGCCTTAACCTAATTACCACTAGCAAGATCTTCAGCACTATCTTCCCATTCTATCAGGCTATTTATCAAGCAACAAAATAAGGGTTATAAATTACAAATTCAAAACAGGTTAAAATTGAAGTAATGGCATCTCTTAACAATCCTAATCACGCCGGAAGCTGTTGCCCTAGTCCAGCTTCTATCAGAGTATCTCCATTTGGCTTTATACTTTTTTGAATATTGGCTGCCCTCCTTACAATGAATTAAAATCATCTCCATCAATGTAGAAACTTTTTTGGCCTGTCATTTACGTTCCACTTGAGTACTTTTAAGGCAGTGACTTTAGTCACCCGTACAAATAGTTTTTATTCGTATTTAATTGTACTTTTTTGTCGTGCCATTAGACATTTTTTTTTTAGAATTTTTTTTTTTTTTATTGTTCCAATTTATACAACTTACTTACTTAAAACTTTATTTTCCTGAATCTTTTAACTGTCCTAAACTCAGTTTGGAGTTCAACCAGTTTGCTTTCTTCCTATAAAAACTACTAGTTTATTCACATGTTGTTCTGAAGTAATCATGTGCTTAGTAGTAAAAATTTTCCAAAAATATGTTTAAGTAGCAAATTATTTAAAATTTTAAACATGTGTAGTACTTTAATTAGTAATATATTATTCTAGTCGTTTAGAAGTGTATTGAATGTAGGTTAACTGATTTATTAAAAAATTATCTCACTTATATAAAATAAGCTCCGTAAAACGGTTGTTTGTAATCATGTACTATCAAAATATTGTTCTCATTTGCAGGATGTATATTTGTCCTGATATTCGTCATTTTCCGGGTACAAAATATTGTATCCTTATTTCTCCTAATTTTTAATTTTCCTGTTCAAGTATTCCTGATTGTGGTTTCAAAGCATTCTATTTTACCATTAATATTCATTTTATCCATTAATACAATTATGGTAGGTGTAGATTAGTTAATGTGTACTTTTGTAGATTAATTAAAGAATCAAAAGATTTAGATTTTTGATTCGCTATCTTTTTATTATGATAAATAATGCTACTTAATGTACGTAAAAATTGCGAAATTTGATATCTCAATCTTAGGGCCTGTCCTCTAATGATCTTTACCACTGTAATATATGTATCTGTAAATAACCAAGTAATGCCATTAAATCAACTCTACTTAATATTATTATTAAGTAGAGTTGTTTCTAATTTTGAAAAATAAATTTACAAAAATGTTGCATTCTATCTTTCCTTGACATGAATTTTATTCATTATGCTTGATGAAATCTCAGTAAATGAAACTCTTCAAACTTGAAACTATGCTCGATTATGTATCTATTTATGCCGAATTATTTGCGAATTATAATCATTTCATTTTATGTGCATTACATAGGTGAAATAATTTTTTTAATCTCTTATTTAGGATGTTGGTGGGCAGGATAAAATCCGCCCCCTATGGAGACATTACTATGCCGGGACGCAAGGTCTAATTTTTGTTGTTGATTGTGCAGACTGGGACAGGATTGAAGAATCTAAACAAGAATTGCATAAGATCATAAATGATCGAGAAATGCGAGATGCAGTTGTTCTAATATACGCTAATAAGCAAGACTTGCCTAATGGTATTAATTTTATTCACCTCACATGCTAGTTTTTAAATTCTTTATTTGATACGTTCGTTTAAAAATATATATATAACCGAAAAAAATCATTTCATTTACTTTTCTTTTTCTATATTTAATTAATTATTTTTGCTTCAATTTGAGTGAAGAGAGAATTTATTGACATTTTATGAAATTTAAGAAATAATATTTTTATTTGTGCATTTTAAACTGTAAAATTAACATGTTGACTGTCATAAAAAAAAGTGCTGTTTTTTGTGTTGCCAAGGTAGAAAATTTTATAATTGAATTCTTAATTTTTTTTTACTTTTTAGCTAGCCATAAATGTGTGTTATACTTTTCATATGTTTTTTAATTTATGACTTATCAATCTGTAAAAAAGACTAAGATAATCTCCAAAAAAAGGGCTGAATTTGTTCCTTTCAAGTGGCATGAATGATAATGAAATATGTAAAATTAATTAAGAAAATTTAAATAATTCAATAAATGAACTGCAGTGGTCCAATGAATGAAGTTCAAAGACAAGGTTTTAAAGTGACTACTCATTCCAACTTTACTCACTATTTCTCCCCTTTTGACAATAGAAAAAAAAAGTGATGAAATGTATGAATACATTTTTCATGCTTAATAAATGTGCAAAATGTATATATCATTTCTATCATTCTAACAACCAATCAAACTACAGATAACTGAAATATTCCTTATCACTTGCAATATTCATTTTAAAACTTAAAATTAGATGATCAATATCTGAGTTTTAAAGAAAATAAAGAAACATAAATTAAAAATAGTGCCTTTATCAATTCAAAATGTGAAATACTTTTGCAAATTCGACTAATTGATTGAAAAAAGGATAAGCCACCACTCAAAATAAGTATTTTAGAGTTTTAATTTTAATGAAAGTTTTTTCCCTATTTAAATCCTTTAACTAGTAAATTTAAGGACTTAAAAGGGGAATAACTTAAATAAAATTATTTATTTTTCAACGCAGTTAGATTCATAGTTGTTATTAGCAATAAACATGCTTATAATTTTATTCCAGCAATGAAGCCTCATGAAGTGCAAGAAAAGTTGGGTCTAACTAGAATAAGAGATCGCCTGTGGTACATTCAGCCATCGTGTGCCACTAGTGGTGATGGACTTTATGAAGGTCTTATGTGGTTGACTGCCAACAACAAATCTTGAATGATGATACATTTAAGTCATCAAATTATAAAATAATAAAAATATAAGATTTAAAATAAGTTTGTATATGTCCTCCCTGTGATAAATATCATTAGTAAAGCAGCTTTTATTTTGCGGCAACTCTGATTTCTTTGGATTGGAATTTTATCAGCATAGATTTGACATTCCATAACTGAAAATATTTAAAGAACTTTACTTCTTTCAATAAATCTTTTTTAAAGCTGTGGCATTTTATATATGTTTACCTTCTTAGTAGTTATTTAATGTTGACTATTTTATAATGGACATGTATGACTTTCCTTTCGGAAACTGCTGTCAGTTTCATCATTTGCTACTATGCATATTAACAATTTACAAACCAATTAATTGGTCCCAATTTTCAATACTTGTAATTTTCTTGTACCATCTTTGTTAGTTTTAAAGCAGCATTGTTAAGAATTTGGAAATGTGTACTACATTTAATATTTTTGTTTAAATTTTTTATGATTAAAATTATTCAAAAGACTTAATTTAAGAAATATATGTATGTATTTGTGTTTACAAATTCTTTTAATACATTTCTTTACTATTTTCTTCATTTTTTAGATCTTTTTAAATAATTTGCTAGTGATTATATTAATTAAATCACATCAACAATAATTTAATTTATAATCTCTCTCTAAAACAATTATTTTTATTGTGTTGTATGCATTTCTCTCATGCAGTTATTTGAAATCATATCATAGCATAGCATAATAAATAGCATTTAAGCTGTGTTTATAATTGCAGAAGGTCAGCAATTCTGAATTGGTGTATTCTAAGAACTTAATTTAATAAACTTCTACAAATGACGGAAAAAAGTTTGTCGAAGTGTTGTGGGAAAAACAGATGTTTCCTCTTTACCATCTTTTTTGCACATTCCTAAAAGCTTATTCAATTTTTCTGAAAAATATATTTAGTTAAAATTTTAACTACCAAGAAGTACTAATGCATGTTTAGCCAAAAGGAATATTAGAAGCAAATTACTATTCAATGTTTTAGTTTTTAAATGTATGTTATTAATAGCTATAGTTGACCTTCTGAAAAGAAGATAGAACTGTTAAAATGGTACAACAGTTGTTCTGCCAATAGAAATGTGTCAAGAAATGTTTTAAATCTAATTATCACGGGAATGTTGTTTGAATATAAATTTATTTTAATCTTGAATCGACTAAAACTTTTGCATTTGTGCAAGCTTACATTGAAACTTCTCTTACTACACAAATATTTTATTGATTTAAAAAGGAAAAAAAAAAAACTGTTTTATGGGCAATATAAACCTCAGTTAATAATTTTATTCAGCCATCCTATTTAGGAATAGAGTAGCATTGTCAGGAATTGGGATACTCATTTTATCTTACCAACAGTAAGATACAAAATGAAATATGTAAAAAATATCTACTTTTAAATATTTTTAATTTTAAATCCTTAGTAGCAATGATCTTGTTTAATTCATATTTAGGTATTCACTTCATTTTCAAACTATATGAACTTAATTATTCATTATATATTGAGACTTTATTTTTCTAATCATAAATATTCATTAACCTCTACAATTGGTCTTTTTTTTTAATGCTTTTATTTCCGCACTAGAAATTTAGAACTTTTCCAGATTCAACTAGATTAATGTCTTACTTAGCACACAATATGAAACCCCTAACATACAAAATAAAATTTTCAATAAAAAAATGTTTTTTTTTTTTTAAAGAAAATATTAAATATTTTATGTAACTGAAATATAATGAACTAAATAGAATTGCTTAAATTCGAAATACGGCTACTGATTTTGGAGACGTAAATAGTTTTTGTTGGAATGGTAATTTATTCTTCTTTTTCAAATTTTGTGTAAACTCTCTGTTTCATTAGAAAGAAAAAGAAAACTTTTAAATATTTCTTTATTACTGTGAGTTGGAGGGAGTAAAATAATTAAATATTTATTTGGACTTTATAAAATACCAATCTAGCACCAACTTTTTCATGAAAAATCAAAAATGTATTTCAAAAATAAACTGTATAGTGCAGCTTAATTTTTCCAAGATTCTACTACTTTAGTCAAAAATTTGCATTAATGCTTATTTCATTTTTTTCTTATTTGTTTCAAATATTTTTAAGACGAGCTGGGGTTAAAATAAATTTGTGCTTTCTTCATATACTCAATGTACTAAAATATCTAAATTTGTATTAAAATAAACCTAGATTTACTTATTGCATTAAAAATCTAATTTCTGTGTTAAATGAGTGAAGAGTGTTTTGAACGTCAAACTATATTCAAATGTTTTATTTAAATGTAGCATATATTTTAAATAAGTATCCAAGCTCTAATTTTTAAAATTGGAGTTTCGATTTAGTCTAATTCTAGCTGCTAATTTTTTAACTAAAAATAAAAGTTTTTAATGTTAATAAAACTGAAATGTATTTTAAACATTTTTTAACTTAAAATTAAGTTTTTATTATTAAAATGTTTTCAAACCCTAGTGCAAGCAATATAATCTTACTGCAATTATATTTATTATATTTTTTTTTTTAAATATCTGTCATTAGGGCTATTCTATTCCAATTATTTCATTTTAAAATTGATCTTTTTGTCTACTGAAGAAATCATTCAGTTTATAGTTAACTTGTAAGCATTTATTAGATTGCAATATTTCACTGAACTTTCTAAAAATTTAAATTTTGATAAATATTTAACTTTACAAGCAATAACTAACCAAGTTAAACTCTACTTACAACTTTTCCCTCTTTTTCTTTGAAAAATACTGCAAAAGATCTTCTTTTATGAAATAACTTGTTGACAATCAATTTATGTTTACTAATTGACCAATATTGAAAAAAATTCCCACCATAGCTTAAGTGAAAAAAACTTATCAAAGTATTTTTGAACTAGACTGTTTCACTTCAACCAAAGTATTGTAAAACATTTATTTTATCTCATCCTTCAAACCTTGAAGCACCCTTTTACGAAACTATATTAAAAATAATATATTTTTTTTTCCTTAAACATTAAAAACTCTAATTCATTTAAATAGTAAATGCCAAGAAATCTAATTTTTATAAACTTTTCATTCAGCTTTTATAATTAATTTCTTATTCTATTATTTGTTCTGCAACAATATTTTTATAAATTAATTCCTTTTTTATGACAGTGATACAAAACTTTTCATTTCATTTGAATCTTAATTTAAAAAAAACGCAGTGTTTCTATAAATTATATCTTTTTCATTCCACTTATTCATTCCTTCTCAGAACTACCAGCTCAAAAATTCTTCATGAAAATTTAAAAAAAAATTTATTATTCTTTTACTTTTTTTGTCAACTTTTATCAGAATTAAGGAGCGAAGCAAATCATTGTTGAACTCTCTATTCACAGTTACAAAAAGTTTCTTGAATGATGGTATATATTTGTTAGTACTGTGCTTTTTTTTTCTTCATTCATTCCATTTTAAATTTTCTATTTTATTTTTTGTATTTATTTGCATATCTTGTCACTTTCTATTTAGTTGTTGAACTAGTCAGTGTTTCTATAAACTGAAAATAAGAATCCTTAAAAAATATATTATAGTTAGGGCCCTATTAATTATGGGAAAATAATTTTAAAATTATACGATAAGGATGTGGCAATTTTTGAAAAGCATAAAGATATTTTACAGATAGACTATGAAACAACTAAAAGCAAAGGAAGTTTTACAAAAATATTTACTTTTCATTTTCTTCCTTGTATTAATTGTAATTTTTCAATTATTACAAAATTCATTTCAACTAAGTTGCCTTATATTCATATTCAATTTCATGGCAATTTTTTATGTGCTTAAAAATAGTCCAAAAGCTGAGCATTCTCTCAAACTTTGACATTGAAAAATTTATATGAAACTGAGTCTACTGAATTAGACAGCACAGAGAGTATTTTCCTTTTTTTCTGGTAAATTGTAGAAATTTTTCTGATATTATCTTTGAATTCCAAAATCTGATTTAGTCCAGATCACCAATTTCGAATATTCTGTATTTTTTACTCAGCATACTTCACTTTTATGTATCGATAACCCATTCCTGGACTATATTTTAATACACAATCATCATCAATATTCATGCTGGCCATTTTTTTCTGAAACAAAAACTTAAGCGAATTTCGTGAAGCTTATTGCTGGTTCACAAAACCGGAGCCCGTAAAGGGCCACATAAATTAAAAAAATATTGAAGTGAAGTTACAGCTGTAAAAAGCTTTAAAGACAAATGTATTTAATAAACCATAAAAATTTTACTTAAAAATAAAAATTTTTGTTGATGTTCAGCATTTATGTAAATTGCATGGTTTTTTGCAACTTTTCACAAATTATAGGGCCTTAATTGTAATATATGGTCACCTTTATATGCACTTTCATATAATTTTGCTGTGTATCATATTTTAAAATATATATGTTTTTTTAAATATGCATACAATCATGTCCCAGTTCTCTGTTAGAGTCAATATTATGTATACATATTATTTTGTCTTCCTTTTCAATCAATATTTTGTTTAATGATAATTAATGATTTAGTATATTTAATGCCAAAGTGGCAACTATGTTTTGATGATTATTGTTTGTCTTAAATATAAAATAAATTATCATTTTTAAGAGAAACAAAAATTATTTATTTTCGCATACTTGAAAGTTAGTCATTCTATAATCTTGTATTTATTTTAAAATTTGTTAGCAATGTGTCTATTTTTTCTCATTTATATTTAATGACTAAAAGAGTATACATTATTTATATCATTTATGTTAGTTGTGCTTTATTTTGTTTAAGGTGTGTGCTTGTCTAAAACTGTCATGTAGTGAATTAATTTCATTTCTCTTTGGTAGTTAGCTAAATAATTTCTATTGTTTGCTCATGCATCTATATTCTTCATACAAAACATGCTAGAATGAATTTTCAAATTTTACAATATTTAAAATCTAACTTCCACAGAAATATTTGTTTCAATAAAAAGGCCTTGATTTGTCTGATTTTGTAAATTACTTGGGAATAAAATTGAACAAATCAAGTCTCTACAAGTTATTCTACAGAAACTGTTTGCAACTTATTCTAAGTTTGAAATCTAATTTTAATTTATTTATTCTATAAAAAAACAAGGACAGAGTTAGTTAAACTTTAATGGACTACAGTTTTAAAGACTTTATTTTTATGTATTGTTCATGTTCATGTTTTTTCCGTTCCATTTATTTTTCCTTTTCT